AAGGGTCTAGGCCCGAAATGTCAGCTTTCCTGCTCCTCTGATGCTGCGTGGCCTGCTGGGTTCATCCAGCTCTACACCTTGTTATCTCAGATTCTCCAGCATCGGCAGTTCCTACTATCTCTACGTAATTGAATCATTGTTAGATATTGTGTCAAAACAACCCAAAGTCAAGAGCAGGCCATAGCCTAACAGTCGATAAATAATTCTGTTAGAGATTGTAAAGTAGAAGTACCCTGGTGTGTCTACTTAACTTTCCAATTTTTTTTCATATGCAAAGGGAAACAGCGGACCATTTGGACCCACTGGAATTATCGGTCCTGCTGGGAAACCGGTAAGTGTCTGGATCTGTTGTACGACATCTGTAACAGCGAGTGTCCCAGGGTGATCTGCCCTTTAATCTTGTCAGCCTCATCAGGGGAGGTGATGGATTAATGGTATCATCACCAATCTATTAATCCAGGTACCCAAGTAATGTTCCAGGGACCTGGGTTTAAATCCCACCATGGTAGAAGGTGGAATTTGAATTCAATAACGAAATAAAATCTGAAATGATGACCGTGCAACCCATTGCTGGGGGAGAAACCCATCCAGTTCACTCATGTCCTTTAGCGAAGGAAACTGCTGTCCTTACCCACTTTGGCCTGCACGTGACTCCAGACCCATAGCAAAAGGTCTGACTTCTAACTGCCGAGAGGGCAAGTAGAATTGGACAATATGTGCCCATGATCTGTGAATGAATTTTTAAAGAAAGTCTAAAGAGAAGGCCTCAGGTATTGACTCTCTGACCAAGACCATTTGGTTTGTTCTCTTTAAGTGATCCTGGGGAGGCAGTGGTGTAGTGGTCATATCACTAACCTAGCAACCCAGAACTCCAGGGTGATCTTCTGAGAGCACAGCTTCAAATCTCACTACAGCAACTGGTGAAATTTGAGCTCAGTGGAAATTTTGGAATTGAAAGCAAGCCCATTGGCCATCATGTAACCATTGTCAACTGTTATAAAAACCCATCTGGTTCACTAATTTCCTTAAGGAAACTGCTATCTTTACCTGGTCTGGCCTACATGTGACTCCAGACCCACAGCAATGTGGTTGACTCTGGGCAATTAGGGATGGATAATAGATACTATCCACACGTCATGAAAAGAACAAAATAAATTCCTAAATTATCCAATTATTCCTTAAGTAATTCCAGCCTCCAGTGAAGTGATCCATCTGGGATTTCTTTTTTAATTCCAATTGATCTTTGTGTGAAGAATCCGTTGATGCTGGTTTGAAATTTTTCTTTTCTTTACTTCAAACCTGTGCTTCTTTCATCTCTCCTCACTTTAAAACAAACATCGGGGATAATTGGAAAAATAACCCAGAGTAAAGACAATCTTTCTGATGTGGATTTGCTGGTGAGATTGTTCTCCACGGAATGGAGAGAGGGAAAGAGATTTGATTGAGGTGATTTGAGAAAGAGACTTTTGACAGAGTAACTGAAGAGAAACTGTTTCTCAGGGCAGGAGGGTTGATGGCCAGAGGGACACGGATTGAAGGGAATCCAGAGGGGGGAGATGAAGGGAATTTTTTTGACACAGTGAGTAATTCTGATCTGGAAGACGCTGCCTGAAATACAGTGGAGGTAGATTCAATAATGACTTTCAAAAGGAAATGTGGAATTACAGAAAGGAGAATAGAATGACCAGACTCCGGGGACAAGTGGGGACTGGGACTAATTAGGATTGCATTTTCAAGGAGCTGGCCCCGCACCCCCCAGGCTGAATGGTCTCCTGTGTATTGCTCAATGATGTCAGAGCCACTGAAAACTCCCACAAGTCAAGCATCTAAAATACCTTAAGAAAATTATTTAATTAATTATTTAAACATTAATTAATTATGTACTTATTTAATCATTGGTTCAGGAGTAGGCCATTCAGCCCCTAGAGCCTGTTCCAGTATTCAATGAGATCATAGTTGATCTGTGACCTTGGTCCATATACCTACCTTTGGCCCATATCCCTTAATAGTTTTGCTTAACAAACACATATCCATCTCTGATTTGAAATTAACAACTGATCCAGCATGTTATTAATTATTATGTTGTTACTTTTCAGTTAATGTGTTCTTTTTCTTTTCCATCACAGGGTCCAAAGGGAGTGAAAGGGGCCAGAGGGGAAATGGTAAGGCTGTATCAGAAATCACCAGTTGTGAAACCACCTTACTCTCTTCCGTAACATGTTTATAGAATACTTGAGATGTCACTAAGTTTCATGTTGCTGAATTTCTGATTTGATAAATCTCAATATTTCAATAAACCTACATGTTTGGTATACTTCAGGTAGGTTGGTGTGAAGGCCACGTAGAGTTTAAACACCAGATGGGCTGAACGGCCTGTTTCTGTGCTGTATATTTGATGTAATTTTATGTAACACACTGATAAAGTGAAAGGTAAAATGGGTGGACAGACATTTATATAGAACAGAACATTCTTACTATCTCTGAGAACATGTCAGCAGTTGGGCCAAGAAGTCTATTTCTGTCTTATAGGCCTTCTGTATCTTTGTGAAGTTTGTAGAAAAACATAGCAAATAGAGTTTGCACAGCAAGGTCTCAGAAACTATTCAGGATGTGAGAGCAGTTTTTATTACTTATCTGTAATTGCCCTACTGAAAATGCTGGTGAGCAGCCTTGAATAAAACTATATAGCTTACTTGGCCATTTCAGAGGGCAGCTTTGATATGTGTCTGGAGTGGCAAGTAGGCTAAACCAGGTAAGATGATAGATTCCTTCCCTGGAAGGACACTAGTGAACCAGATGGGTTTTTACAATAATCCAGTCATTTCTGTATGACCCTCCTCCTTCTGCTCTTTGTCTCACTGTATCAATATGTCCCCCTGTTCCATTCTCATGTGCTGAAGTTTTGCTAAATTTATACACTAGTCAGACCACAGCTGCAATACTGTGAACAGCTCTGGACCCCTTATTTAAAGAAAGATATTCTGGTATCGAAAGTAGTCCAGAGTAGGTTCATTAGGTTGATACCAGGTATGGAGGGACTGTATTATGAGGAGAGTTTGACTAGACTGGAATATAGAAGAATGAGAGGTGACCTTATTGAAACATAAAGGATTATTAGGGGGCTTCACAGGGTAGATGTGGAAAGTGGAAGAGGTATGTTCACGTTCCCTTTTGAGGGGGAGTATAGGATCAAAAAGGATAATCCCAGAATAAGGGGTTGCCCATTTAAGACAGAAATGAGAAGGAATTTTGTCTCTCTGAGGGTAGTGAATCTGTGGAATTCTTTACCAAAGAGGGCTGTTCGGGCTGCGTTGTTCAGTATATTCGAGGCAGAAAGAGAGAGATTTTTAATCTGTGAGAGGGATTGAGGGTTGTGGGGAAAAAGCAGAAAAGCTGAGTTGAAGATGATCAGATCAGCCATGGTCTCGCTGATTGAACATAGAACATAGAACCGTACAGCGCAGCACAGGCTCTTCGGCCCACCATGTTGTGCCGAACTTTTACCCTAATCCTAAAGTCTTTCTAACCTCCACTGCTACCTTATACTATCATCCATATGCCTATCTAATAGCCGCTTAAATGCCCCTAATGAGGCCGACTCCACTACCCTCTCCGGCAATGCATTCCATGCCCCGACCACTCTCTGAGTAAAGAACCTACCTCTGACGTCTCCCCTATATCTACCTCCACTCACTTTAAAACTATGCCCCCTCGTTAAAGCTACCTCCACCCTACGAAAAAGTCTCTGGCTGCCCACGCTATCTATACCTTTAATCATTTTGTACACAAATGGCTGAGCAGACTCGCTGGGCTGAATGGCCTACTTCTGCTCCTACATCTCTAGGGTCTATAAGCATGCATTAGGAAAAGAGGAGGCCATTCAGTCCCTCAAGGCTGGTCTTCAGAGTGTGTCTACACAGAACACCTTACCATCTCCCCGTGGTAATGAGTTCAATTTTAAGACAATGCAGAGAGTATTCTGCTGCTGTAGAGATTTCCTGCTGAGGACCAGCAGCAGATGGGGACTTCAAACAGTTACAAAGAAAGCCAGTGCTTACAGGATGAAAGATTTTGGCCTTTTTATATAATACTGATGGTTTCTATGTGAATCACTCAGGCATGAACAAACTTCTTAAACTAAAATAATTTATGCCAACCTTTTTAGTTTGTATATTTTTGGTCTAGCAGGAGTAAGTCTTACTCAAAGTGTTCCAGGGATAATGACCATTGAAGAGTTTGGGCAGACATGGGAAGGGGACAGATTCCATTACACCCTGTGGGCAGTTCACTATCAAACTGTTATGAATGTGGAATGAAATGAGAATCAGTAGAGATTGGTGTTTCCTGCAGGTTCCGAAGCGGAATTGTATCAGACTTGAAACGTTAACTCTGTTTGTCTCTCACACACCCTGCTGAGCTTCTCCTGCAGTTTTGTTTTCATTTCAGATTTCCAGCATCCACAGCCATTTGTTTTGGTGCAAAAAGGTTATTTTCAATCAGACATATCTCGAGAAGGGGGTGGAATTTAAACTCTGGTCCAAGGGTGGAAATGTGTTTCTAAGCACCCTGTTCAGGGATGTTATTACACACCTCTGGAGTTGGTGGGACTCCTGGCTCAGAGGTAGGGACAATACCACTGCACCACAAGATTATCTTGTGTTAATTGTATATCAGTTGGCTATTTAATTGTGCTCAAGTGACTGGGGTGGTGGTCACTGACATTCCTAAACAAGGGGACCTGTTAGCTCAGTTGGCTGGATGGCTGGTCTGCAATGTAGAGTGATGCCATCAGCGTGGGCTCAATTCCCACACCAGCTGAGGTTATCGTCAAGGTCCCAACTTCTAAACCTCTCCCCTCGCCTGAGATGTGGTGACACTCAGCTTAAGCCACCAGCAGTCCTCTCTTTCTCTGTCTCTCTCTCTGCCTAATGGGAGAGTGGGACAATGGTAGCTTTACTTAAACAGGCATTACTAAGCTAGGGAGAATAGAGAATCATAAGGATGACACTGAGGCAGAGGTGGGTAGATTCTTGGTGAGCAGTGGGGATGAGATCAGTGGTGGGTGGGGAATGTAGAGTAATCAGATCAGCTGTGATCTTGTTGAATGGGGGAAGGGGTCGAGAGGTCGAGTGGCCTGCTCTTTCTTCTAACTCATATTTCTGAAGAAGAATCGAAATATTAGCTCTGTTTCTCTCTCCACAGATGCTGGGCTTTTCCAGCAGTTAAGGTATATATTTCAGGTTTCTCACGTTCCTGTGTCTGGAGAGCACTCAGTTCCTGGGCATGGTGAGACAGGATCTGGTGTAAGACTGACTCCACTGACAAATCTTAGCCAAACCTTTCAGGCCTTTGCCAAGACGATCAGATTCTGTGCCCAAAGAGAAGCGGGGTTTCTTCTCTCTGATCCACTTGGAGGCTTCTCAATCCTACTGTCCAGAGGACTTTGCAGTCACACTCCAACTTCAATTCCTCATTTTTATTTCCAAATCCCTCCATGCCTGGCCCCCTTCATCTCTTCCAGCCCTTCACAATCTCAGCATGCTTTAAATCCTTTTATGTTTCCTGTTTTGGAGTTGTAGACTTGCTCACTGAGTCGGTGTGTTTGATTGCAGACGTTTTGTTACCCTGCTGGGTAACATCATCAGTGCGCCTCCAGTGAAGCATTGGTGTTCTGTCCCGTTTGTTATTTATATGCCTCAGTTCACTGGGATGGTTGGCATCACTTCCGGTTTCCCGTTTTAATTATTCAACAGTATCTTGACTGAGGGGATTCCTAGGCTTTGGGATTCCCTCTGTAAAATTCTCTGCCTCTTTATTTAAGAAACCTTTTTGGCCAAGTTTTTGTCTTGATCTAAGATACATGTAAAAGGTTATTGCACAAAGTAGAAGCATATAGTGACAGGCATGACACACTAGTAGGGATAGAAGACTGGCTGGCTGGCAGAAAACAGAGAGTATGTATAAATAGGTCTTTTTCTGATGGTACAGGGCTCTCTTAGGGGACTGTACTAATCCCTCAAACTTTTACAATTTAGATCATTGACTTACATGAGGGGAGCAAAGGTATGGCAGCTAAATTTGCAAACATTGAAAAGGAAATGGTGGATGTGGGTACAATTACAATGTTTAAAATTTGGATAAGTACATGAATAGGAAATGAATTGGAGGGATATGGGCCAGGAGCAAGCAGGTGGAACTAGTTTAGTTTGAGATTATGGTCGGCACAGACTGGTTGGACCGAAGGGTCTGTTTCTGTGCTGTATGACTCTATGACAGGTCAGAATGTATGTTGTGAAGAGAAAAAAATGATGTCGCAGAATGATATATACAGGTTGAGTGATGGGCAAAAATCTGGTAGATGGAGCATTATGTAAGAAAGTGTGAAGTTATTTCACTTTGACAGGAATAATGAAAAAAACAGTATTACTTTAATGGAGAATGACTGCAGAATTCCTTGGTGCAGAAGGTTCTAGGTGCATGAGTCATGGTTTATTCATGTGCAGCTGCAGCATGTAATTAAGAAGACTAATGGAAAGCTATCTTTAAACATGAAGGTAAGCTGTTAGAGAACGTGAATAATGATGAAAAGAAATACATTTTACCAATGCTTTTTCAACTTATTCTCATCAGGACCATTCACAAGAATACCAATTCAAGGGGGAATCCAACATCATGCTGCATCCGTTAAAGTAACAATGGTACACATCAGTTTGCAGGTCATGGGTGAGACCACCTCTGAGACATTGTGCACAATATTCACCTTCTTACTGAAGAAAGAAATGTGTTGTAGGTAATTTAGAGAATATATACCTGCAATAGGTGGGTTGTTTTATGAGGAAAGGTTGGACAGACTGGGCTTGTTTCCAATGGAGTTTAGATGAGTGAGGAAAGACTTGTTTGAAGTGTCTAAAATTCTGAATGGTCTTGACAAGATGGATGTGGAAAGGATGTTTCCTTGAGTGGGTCGATCCAGAGCTAGGTGCCAATAAAAGTTTCCCTTTTGGGTCAGAGACAAGGAGAAGCATTTTCTCAGAGGGTTGTATGACTTTGGAATTCTGCTTCAGAAGGCAGCAGAGGTGGGGTTAAGCCATGGGATCAAGCGTTATCAGCAGTAAATGTGCAATTCGAAACACAAACAGAACAACAATCATCTCATAGAATAGAGGAACAGGTTTGAGGGGCTGAATGGCCTATTCCTGCTCCTGATTTATATGTTTATATCTCTTTACATGGCTCAGTGCTAAAGTCAAATTAATAAACAAGGCGCTGCGAAACATATTGGATGTCATTTTACAGTAGAAAGGTGCTACATAATTGCATGTTGCTGTTGTGAAGATTTTTAGTCTATTTGAGATGTGACCAGATGCTGCGTACACACATTTTGTTTTCTTGTAAAGAGAAAATTGGAGTTCGTCTCAGACCCTGGGGATTCTGTGCCAGAAACAACAAATCTGGCATGTTGAAATCCTTTATCGAATTATGTTTTCTTAAACTTCAATATGCAAATAATCCACTGCACCATTTCAAATGTTCCTGTCAGGGCAAGATTTCAACAAATGTCATCGTTAATCTACAATGTCAACGTCCTTGTTCGATGAAAACAACTAAATGCAAAGTCCTTAAAGGATAGCTGAATAAAATATTCATTCATTAAAGAGAGGTCATTATTGGGCCTCTTGTGGTGCAGTGGCAGTGCCCCTGTCTCTGATACAGGAGGCCCAGGTTCAAGTTTCACCTGCTCTAGAGCGTGTGTCATAACATCTCCGAATTGGTCAATTTGGAAATTATGTAGAGCTCGTCACTATAAAGTTGCCGCCGGTAAATCCAATTGGGAATTTGGGGAGAGAGTAGAGGTGAATATTGTGGCCATAGTTAAGGAGAAGATGAATAAAGACATGAGGGAAAAATGAAAGGGAGGATATGGTGATGGAGTGAGATGAAAAAGGTTGGAAGTGTGTCAATGTGGGGGATGAATACCAGCAGACAAGCTGGGCTGAATGGCCTCTTTCTGTACTGTAAATCCCCCACGTTTCTTGGAGAAGACATAATGAATGAGAAAGAAAGTCTTAGAGTCATAGAGTGGTACAGCACAGAAACAGACCCTTCGGTCCAACTTGGCCATGCTGAACCAGATATCTTAAATTAATCTGGTCCTATTTGCCAGCATCTGGCCCAAATCCCTCTGAACCCTTCCTATTCATATACCCATCCAGATACCTTTTAAATGTTGTAATCATTGTTTAGTTATACAATGATTAGTGAAGCCTTTGTTCTTTGTCAGGGACCTGAAGGACCACGCGGGCAGCCTGGACCACCAGTGAGTAGACCTTTCCATCATGTTTTTTATTTCAGGTTTGTTTTTAGTCTCGTTTATGCTGAAATGAACAGCTACAATAAAGTGAACTCTTTCATTGCAGGGTCCTCCTGGGACCCCTGGTCCGTTGGTAAGTAATATCCAATATCCACTCCACCTCTTCCAGTCAAAATCTCCATGTTCTCTCATTTCATACCTGCATCTTGGAAATCTCTGTTTACTCTTTGAGGGGAAAAAAACAACTGTTTTCCTGAATTTGAAGACCATACAAGACACAGTTTTACGTATGATTGTGGATTTGAACCATAGGCAACCATGAACAATTATAGACCTTCAGAAAAATGGCCAATAGATTTCCCAGTCACCTTTCCACCCACATTCCTGGAGTGTTGACTGGAATCTGATGGCAACACAGACTTAGAGGAATCATAGATGCAGTTTTCAACATGAATTAACCTACTGACTCTTAGTATTTTCAAGGATGTTGTATACATTCAGATATCTCATGGTTTTGAATAAAACTCCCATGTTTTAAATGCTGTGAGAATGTTTCCCTCTAGCTAGGGAGTCTAGAACGTGGGGTCCACAGCCCCTGGTGTTTGTCCTGGGATTGGGTACCCAGGGGCAGGGGATATCACAGCTCTGCAAACCAGACCTTTAAAATTGTGCCCTAAACACAAAAAAACCAAAGAACTGCAGATGCTGGAAATCAGAAACAAAATCAGGAATTGCTGGAGAAACTCAGCGGGTCTGACAGCATCTGAGGAGAGAGAAACAGAGTTAATGTGTCGTGTCCGGTACTGAAGAAGGGTCCTATTCAAGAGGGACCTGAAACGTTAACTCTGTTTCTCTGTCCACAGATGCTGCCAGACCTGCTGAGTTTCCCCGGTAATTTCTGATTTTGTCTTTAAAAGTTGTCCTCCTGCATTTACAATTTCCTGTCAGGTAATAGTGGGTGAATGGGTGAATCTGTAGAACTCATTGCTGCACAGGGCTGTGGAGGCCAAGTCATTGAGTGTCTTAAAGATAAGGTCAGAAATCACACAACAACAGATTATAGTCTAACAGGCTAATTTCTGACCTTGTCCACCCTAGTCCAACACTGGCATCTCTACATCATGTCTTTAAGGTAGAGATAGATAGGGTCTTGATTAGTAAGAGGATCAAGGGTTACAGAGAGAGGACAGGACAAATGGGATTGAGAAACAGATCAGCTATGGTCGAATTGCAGAGTTGACTGATAGCCGAATACTGGATTGGGAGTGGAGTCAGGAGACTAGAGAGAAGGTGGCTGCTATTTACAGAAGAGGTCTGAGTGGAAAGCTTGTCTCCAGCACTGTAAAACAATAACGATTGAAACATAAAATATTGATCTTGCTCCCATCCTTTCATCCTCACACACTCCTGAGCCAAATCCAGGGTAACCCCTTACCATCCCCACAGCCCCTCACACCTCTGTGCCAACCTATGTCCATTTACCGATCCACCTGGCCCGTTATAGCCTCCATGCCACTCTACACCCCTCTACACATCCCCCCCCCCACCATAGCCTGTCACTCCTCTTGTGCCACACTATGCTTCAGATCATCCCAAAGACCCAGTGCAGCCATATTCCAAATTATGCCCCCTTGTCACCACCCTTTGCCCTATCCTCTCCAACTCATCAAATATCCACCATAGACAAGCTTCATGTGCCATGTTGATGGTGTCTGTTGTTGATGTCACTCTTGGAATAAAATCTCTCAACTAGTTCCTAATCCCTTATGTCAAGAAACATTTCTCTTTAAGAAGCAGCTGGAGTTGATTACCAAAATGCCCCCTTGTGACAATGATAGATTGTGAAATCAGTCATACAGCACAATCCTACATGGTTTTACATGAACAGACATTCTGTGATACTTAGCTACTTTGCTTAATTCCAGACATGTTTATTTGGACAGTTCCTTGACACCTCTGCCAATTCCAATGTGATTTTTGCACTTTCTATGTACAATCGTCTCCACAGTTTGTCGTCTTTAAGGCACCTGACCTCCTATGCCCAAAGGATACCTAATGCTCCCTCCCCCCAACATAAGGAGCCCTGACCCCCACCCGTGCGATCTGTTGGGATAATATCTGCAGGTGTACAAAGGGATACCCTGACTGTCCAATTGAAATGCATTGAGAAATAACCACTCTTACCTGGTCCACAATTGAAATATCCAGCTGTACAAGTGATTCTTCCGAAGTGAAAGTGTGAAGATTCTGGGTGAAAACTTGAGGAGAATGAGTAGTTTCATGTATTAGGGTTAGTGATGGCAGAGGCTAGAAGCTATGGGAGTGGACATTAAGCAATGGATTCACTCTGGTTGGAGTGTTTGGTCTTGTGTGATAGAAGTGTCAATGAAACTGAAAGGAAGAATTAACAGAACAGGTATGACTTTGACCTGGTTACATGGAAAATGTCAGGTTTTTATGTTCACTGTTTCATGTTTTTACTTGGGATTGCACAGAATTGGAATTGGACAGAACGTACACTATGACTGGTCTGTGTAAGTGTTTCTCCTCGGACAAGTCTCCTCCCACATATCTGTTATATTACTCTATCAGCCTATCCTCTACCATTGTCTCTCAGATGCTCATCCAGCTTAAATGTATCAACAGAATTCACCTCAACCTGTGGTCATGAGTCCCACATTCTACCCACTCCCTGGATAAAGGAGATGTTTTTGTTACTGACTATCTTACATTGAGGCTAAGTCCCCTTGTGGAGTCAATTGGTGTCTAACTGTGACCCTGGACTGAAACGGTGTGATGTTGGTTCTGAAGGTTTGAGGTGTTCCACTCCACAGCACTAGCGTTCATGAATCTTGTTGAGCAGAGATTGCATCAACAGGGCAGTTCTGACTGATGGTTTCTATTTCTCTCTATGTCCTTCATGGCCTGTAATGTAGAGACATGCGGATATCAATGCAGCTATTCAAGCCTTGATTGCATCCAATGAAGCCCTTCAGTTTGAGGTGAGCTCCTTGTTCGATCTTTGACTCAACTAAACTATTTCCTTCGTCAACAACAGCCTGAAGGGGGTGATGGTGGTGTAGTGGTGACATCACTGACCTACTTGTTCAACAGCAATTTTGGATTCAAATCTCAGTTTGGCAGCTGATCAGTTTTCAACCTGGATAATCAACTCTGGAAATTTGGTGTCTGTAACATTAAAAGCTAATTTAGTTCATGTGGGAAGGAAATACGTTGCTGCCTCTGAAATAGCGAAAAGCCACTCTGTTCCAGGGCAGTTAGGGATGAGTAACAAATGCCAATGACATCACGTGAAGAAAAATGCATTAACTGTTTCATATTTCAACATCTCATTGCGTGTATCACCGTGCCTGGAAATGCATCTTTAAATAATATGTCTCATTTGACCACTTTGCAGAACACCTCCATTCTTTCCACAGAAATGACCCTGAGCTTCCAGTTGCTGCCACTTCAACACACTACTGTGTTCCCTGGCTAACATCTCTGTTTCGGGCTCACAACAGTGCTCTAGCGAAGCCTGGCACAATCTGGAAGAACAACATCTCATTTTCTGCTTGGGAACCCTGCAGCACTCTGGACTCGAGTTCAATAATTCCAGGCCCTGAACACCTTCTCCCATGTCCTTACCCCAACCCCAACACATCAGGCCTTGTCATGCCATGGACTGCCATCACAAACAACCCACTAGTCAGTCACTAATGGTCCCAGTTCACAGTTAGTCATTCTCCCAATCTGACTTTTGTTTGCGCAACTGTTTTTCTCTTTCTCTGGGCTCCATCTCTACCTTTAGTTAACTTCCACTGTTTCCCCTTGACCCCATCTTTAGCATATATAGCAACCTTTTCCCAGCTACAACCTGTTCTGAAGAAAGGTCAGTGGACCCTAAACATTAACTCTGCTTCCTCTCCACAGATGCTGCCAGACCTGCTGAGTTTCTCCAGCAATTTTTGTTTTTGTTTCCAATGTGTATTACTTTGTACCTGAATATTTCACTTTGCTCATGACTCTCCAGTTTGTCCCTGTTATCTCACATTGTGATTCACATGTTCTCTAGAATTACCAGAACACTGACGTCCCACTCGTAGAGCAAGGAATGGAGATTTTCAAAACTTTACACTATCTCAGCAGCTTGATGCAAAATATCAAGAACCCCCTGGGAACCAAGCAGCATCCTGTTCGGATTTGCCGGGACTTGCTGAACTGTGAAAGTAAATTATCTAATGGTGAGAGGAGCTCGGCATGTTTAAACTGTCACCTGAAAACAGTAATTGCTCAGGTTCAGGTTTCTGATACAAGTCCTTTCTCATCCCTGCAGACAAATACTGGATTGACCCCAACTTGGGCTGCTCTTCGGATACTATCGAAGTATTCTGCAATTTTAACACTGGCGGCCAAACATGTTTACACCCTGTCACTACATCCAAGGTAACGCAAGGCTTTCAGTGAACGTGGAGAGACAGGAGGAGCTGGGATTGTTATCATTAGAGAGAGAAGGTTCAGAAGTGATTTCACAGAGGTGTTCAAAATGGTTAGGTGTATTGAGAGAGTCAATAAAGAGAAATCACTGCCACCCACAGAAGGACCTAAATTTCAAACTAGGTGGTAAAAGAAATAGACACAATGTGAAGGTTTTAAAGTTGTTGGGATCTGAAACTTACTGCCCTAAGGACAGTTTAAATAAAATCAACAACATATTTAGAAACAACTTTTTTTTAGCCTAATTCAAAACTGAAAGAACTGTGGATGCTGTAAATCAGAAATAAAAACTAAGGAAGGGTTACTCAACTCAAAACATTAACTCTGATTTCTCTCCGCAAATGCTGCCAAGTCTTGCTGAGCTTTTCCAGCAATTTCTCCATTTGTTTTCCTTTTATACTTTCTCATGGAATGTGAATATCATTGTCACATACAGCATTTATTGCCCATCACTTATTGAGAAGGTGGTGCTGAGCTGCCTTCGTAAACTATTGCAGTCCATGTGGTAACAGTGGGACTTGCTGGGTCATATCACAGGGCAGCTGACAGCTGTGGATCTAGATGAGATCAGGCTTCCCCTCTTTAAAGGATCATAGTTGTCATATTCACCAAGACTAGCTTTCAATTCCATTTTTTTTTTTTGCAAATTAATTAGAATTAAATTCCACCAGTTGCTAATGGTGGGATTTGAACCCGTCCCCCTTGAGCATGGGCCTGTATCCCTAGATTGGTCATGCAAGGACATTACCAGTATGCCAGCAACACTCAATAAAACATGGAAAAGGGAATTAAAGGGGTGCAATGCTATGGAAAGGGGAATCATAGAACCCCTACAGTGTGGAAACAGGCCCTTCGGCCCAACAAGTCCACACTAACCCTCAGAGCATCCCACCCAGGTTCATCCCTCTATAACCCACCTCATCTACACATCCCTGAACACTACGGGCAATTTAGCATGGCCATCCACCTAACCTGCACATCTTTGGACTGTGGGAGGAAACCGGAGCACCCAGAGAAAACCCATACAGACACGGGGTGAACATGCAAACTCCACACAGACAGTCGCCTGAGGGTGGAATCAAGCCTGGGTCCCTGGCGCTGTGAGGCAGCAGTGCTAACCACTGAGCCACCATGCCACCCAAAATATTGGAATATCGGATGGCATAGAAGTCAGCTCAGACACAATGGGCCAAGAGACATACATTTGTGTTATTCCGAGCAACAACCCCTGAAAGCTGATAACCTTGATGGATTTGGAAGTTGGATGCAACAAGGATCAAAATAAAATGGAGCATTTGTGGTTGACTAATGAGAGAAGAGGGAGTGGGAGGATATGTTGATGGGGTAAGATGAAGGAGGATGGCGGTTATTGGTCTACAGTATTAACACTGGCACATACCAGTCACGTGGAGTGGCCAGTTTGTACCCAGGAACACCTTGGACTTTACCACAGCCAATACCATGTGGAGCTGGAGGAACACAGCAGGTCAGGCAGCTTCAGGAGAGTCAAGGCTTCGGGTTTACACCCTTCATCAGGACTCAAAGGGTGTTAACCTGAAACGTCAACTTCCCTGCTCCTCTGATGCTGCCTGACCTGCTGTGCTCCACCAGCTCCATACTGTGTTATCTCTGACTCCAGCATCTACAGTTCTTGTTATCTCCTCAGACCTCACCATCCACCATCAGATGGTAATTAGGTGTGAGAAACCCCTTAATCTGCAAGTGTGCTCAGGTAGCCCAGGCAGGGGAGAGGAGAAAAGCCACCTGGGGTTCCATGGGGATAGAATGGGTTTCAACCTCAAAACCTTCCTCAGTCAAGTTAACATTTTCCTTTCACATAAAATATCAAGGTACGGAAGGGAGCATCGTCCAATTTTTTTCAAAAAGCAATTCAATTAGTCCTGCTCACTCACTCTTTTCTCTCACAATGTCTCTCCTTCCAGTATTTCCCTGATTCCTTTTGAAAGTCACTATTGAATCTGCTTCCATTGCCCTTTCAGGCAGCGCATTCCAGATCATAGCAACTCTCTGGGTGAAAAGTGGTTTTCTCATCTATTTCTTTTATCAATCATGGTAACTCCACTGGTAACTAATCCAAGCTAGTGGGGAGAGTTTCTCCTTACTTCTTCTAAAAATCCCATCATGAATTTTGGAGCCTTGATTAAATCTCCTCTTAACCTTCGCTATTCTAAAGAGAAAAAACCCCAGTTGCTCCAGTCTATTTATGTTACTGATATTCACAGTGCTTTATTTTCCTTTACATTAAAAGTCTCTTGTGGTTCTCTGTTTGAATTTCATGAATTTTTCATTGATCTTGGTTTTAACCAGTCATTTTTCTTTGCAGCTGGATTTTGGAATTGGAAAAGTACAGATGAATTTTTTACATTTGCTAAGTTCAGAAGCCATACAGACAGTTACAATTCATTGTCTCAATTTCCCAGTTTGGAAGAACAGTACCAACAAGGATCCTTTCGCTAATTCCATACACTTCAGAGGATGGAATGGCCAGATATTTAAGGCAAATACAGTATTTCAACCCAAGGTTATAAGAGATGGGTGCAAGGTAATTTTCTGTGGATTTTGTAACTGACAATTCAGGTCAATTTCTGAAATTAAAACGGAAAATTTTGGAAAATGGAACAAAGAGGAGTCATGTTGGACTCAAATCATTAACTCTGTTTCTCTCTCCACATCCTACCAGACCTGCTGAGTTTCTCCAGCAACTTTCTGTTTTTATTTCAGATTTCTGGCATCTAAGCATTTGGATTTTATTTCGAGTTAATTTCTTTGTGGAAAATTCAGCTTGAAGATCAGCTTGGGCAGCATGGTGGCTCAGCACTTAGCACTGCTGCGTCACAGTGCCTGGGTTCGATTCCAGCCTTGGGTGACTGTCTGTGTGGAGTTTGCACATTCTCCCCGTGTCTGCGTGGGTTTCCATCACCACTTCCCTTATTGCCCTTTAATTATCTCTTAGAAAATCAAAACCCAGTCTTCTGTTTTCTGAAATAAAGGTCTCTAATGTGTTCAGATCTCAGATTGGGGAGGTGATGGCCTGGTATTGTCGCTAGACTATTAATCTAGAAACACAGCATATGTTCTGGGGTCTCAGATTTGATTCCTGCCAATGGTTTTGAATTTGAATTCAATTATTTCTGGAATTAAGAGTTTAATAATGACCCTGAATCCATTGTCAATAGTGAGAAAATGCCATCTGGTTCATTACTGTCCTTCAGGGAAGCAAAGTGCCATCCTTACCTGGTCTGGCCTCCAGACCCACAGCAATATTGTTGACACTTAACTGCTCTCTGGGCAATTAGGGATGGGCAATAAATGCCGGTCTGGCTAGTGGCACCCACATCTCATGAAGGAATTTTAAAAAAATTTTCCTGAAGGGTGTGACCTCTCATTTCTGGCATCATTCTTGTAAATCTCTTCTTGCACTTGCCCAGTGCCTGATCGATCTTGATTCTATAATGACGAGGGCAGAGATGTCTGCATAACTCAAGGTTCTAGACAGATTTAACATCATCTCTCCACTTCTCACTGTATCCCTTCCTTCCCAGAAAGTCAACTGGCAAATGATGGAACTGGAACCAAGCTTTGTGCAGTTTTGTGTATATTTGCAGATATATATATTCATTCACAGGCTGATGGCTTGCTGGCACAGCCAGCACATATTGCCCATCTTGAATGACCTTTGAGATCACGGAGTGCCTTACTGTCCATTTTTCAAGGGGTAATTAAGAGCGAGCCATGTTGCTGTGGATCTGGGGTCACAGAGTGGATAGAGATTGACAGCTTTCCTTTGTGAAGTAGACAGGTCACCACAACAATTTAGAAGCTGCGTTGCCACTGCTGCTAATTACTGAAAGCAAGCGCGGACTGGGTGACCCCTTTGCGGAACACCTCCGGTCTGTGCACACGCAGGACCCTGCCCTTCCCATAGCTGGTCATTTTAACACAGCATCCTGCTCGCATGGCCATGCCTGTCCTTGACATACTGCAGTGTTCCTGTGAATCACAGCGCAAACTGGAGCAACAACATCTCATCTTCAGAATAGGCACTTTACAGCCTTTTGGACTTAATATTGAGTTCAACACCTTTAAATTGTGAACCAGCTCCCATTTCTTCCCTTTCTTTTTGTTGCATTCTCTGTCACCCTCCCACCCACCCCACCCCCACCCCATTCCCCCACCCCAGTCTGTCCTTTTCAGTCTGGCAGTTGGACGCACCGTTGTTCTGCCATTCTCACATTCTGATCACTTAATCTGAACAATCAACATCCTTTCAGAGATAGCAGGAACTGCAGATGCTGGAGAATCTGAGATAACAAGGTGTAGAGCTGGATGAACACAGCAGGCCAAGCAGCATCAGAGGAGCAGGAAGGCTGACGTTTTGGGCCTAGACCCTTCTTCAGAATAAGGGTCTGGGCCCAAAACGTCAATCAACATCCTTTCTTCCTCAGCGCTCTACACTCCCATTATTGTATAAATGCTGTCCCCCTCCACACTTCACAGCAGCTCTGATGATGAGTCATCTAGACTCAAAACGTTAGCTTGCTCTCTCTCCGGATGCTGTCTGACCCACTGTGATCTCCAGTATTTGTTGTTTTCAGTACAGATTCCAGCATCTGCAGTATTTTGCTCCTACTGATTTTCTTTTGGTTCAATGAGCTGAATTTAACTTCCATGGCTGCAGTGTCGGGATTTAAACGTGTCTCCTCCACCTCATTTATCATTAACTCCGCAATATTTGCTATCCCCTAAATCCCTTTGCTGCTCAACCCTGCTTTGACTCTGATTTGTTTGTTAATTACAGATTCAAGATGGGACTTGGCAACAGACACAGTTCGTTTTCAACACTCAGGTTGTTAGTCAACTTCCGATCGTTGAAATTCACAAGCTCCCTCACATCACATCAGCGAAACAGTACCGTATAGAAATTGGCCCAGTCTGCTTTCTGTAGGAAGATAACACAACTGAGTTGCCCTCATTAAGTCTGTCGGGAAGTTAGACTCCCTGGAGCTGTCAGTTTTTGGAGAGATTATCTCTGTTCGCTGTGGAGAGCTCAGGAACAATTTTTATTCAAACTGACTCCTCACAAAGAGTGAATTGATGCCTCTCTATCTCAGTCACTGCAGTTAGCTGGAAATGAAGGCATTTGATGGATCAGGCACAATATTCTGTGCTCCAAGTCACAGAAACTTTCAGTAACGTATCAGTTGAGACTTCCGCTCCACTCACTCAGCCAAGACTGAGAAAGAAAGACCCTTAATAGCACTGAAGGCTATTTATTGCAGAATGTGCAATGTCTTCCAATGAGAGGTGGAAGACAGCTCGGAACAAGTGCGCAGTTTTATCTAATCTTATCTACGTCTAGAAGTGTCCTCTACCTCCGATACCCTACCTGTCTTCCATCTGGACTTTTGACACTTCTGGATGTTCCTCATGTTCAACAGTCAACAGGCCAGTCTGTTGAGAGATCTGTCTTGCCCACTTTGTGGAGGTACATATCCACGTATCTAAGGTTAGCAAGGGTCAGGGTGATTCCCAATTAGATGCAAGCCATAGTTGGTTTTCAATCATTGAAGCAGCTGATTAGCTCAGTAGTAACCTTCCTGCAGTCTGCACAGGTAAATCCATCCAAGGCCTTAGGGAATTGCTTTGTACTGTTATTGGCACCCAACTGAGAAGGGTCTAATTTATCAAGAGCCAGGTGGGGCCCCTCCAGCACCACTTGATTATAAAATGCTTATCTCTGGTGCATTTTGAACCAATGCCCTTGTTCAGATATTGGGTCACTGAGCTGCCATTGAGGACTCACTCTCCACTGATAGGCATGCCTCCTCGGAGACAACTCAACCCAAAAGACCCTTCCAATTCCTTCCCTGTCCACTCACTCCCATCAGCTCCATATCCCCACACAACCCCAATTCCCAACCCCAACTTTCCAAAGCGCAGGTTGTTGGACAGGCGGGCAACATGCATCCAAAACACCAGTGCCAACGCTCAGCAGAAGGCATTCTGTAGTGTAGCACCAAGCACAGACACAGACCCAGCCACCTACATATAACCATCTGGTAGTGGTTGTACAGGTGAGGCTCTTTAGCTGAACATTGACCAAGGTGGGTACTGAACCCTGGTTATTGACTTACACGTTGGCATTCACAGGTGATGCCCCTTCCCCTGTCATTCCTGAACCTCAGAGTTTGCTCATGTGATGGACATCTGCCATCAGCAGATACAGATACAAAGAACTGCAGACTACAGTTTGTGACACATCAGCCTCCTGGATGTCCTAGGTGCTAGTCAATAAGGTGCTACGGTTTTGATATTATTTTGTTTTTTCGAAATGTATGTACTGGCTACATTCAGTATTTTTCTGTTTTAAAAGTACTTATTTGGTCATTTATTTCTATCAGAAACATTATTTATATGAACTGTGTAATTATACCAATTGTGTCTGACATTGTATGGAAGTGCTGTACAGATTGGCACAGTGTGTGTGGTGACTGTAGATAGACAAAAATGCTTCGCTAGTTAGAGGAATGTTGTAGAACAACTACATGCTTTCTGTTCAGCTTTAAGGTTATACCTTGCTATTATATATTAAATCTTGATCACTCACTCTATGACATGCAACTTAATTTTATTTGTGCATATTTTGTATAGTTGGTTTTAGGGCTGAGACAAACAATTTATAATCAGTTCATCAATTGAAAGTTTTATTTATCTTGTTATTATTGGAATTGTAAAGACAATGAAAGTCTATTCCATTCTCAGTTACTGAGTTCTCATTCAACAGGAGATTGCCATTATCATCAGGACAACTGTAAAAATATTGTTAATTTACGGCTTTTATTCTTGTTTGACTGAAACTATCAAATCAAACTGACTTCATTCCATACAAAGGGTAAAGTCACCTTTGTCTTACTAGACCATAGGGCTGCTGTCTTATTAGAGAGGGTGAGAAATGACTGGTGATGGTTTAACATGAGGATCACGACATCTCAGATAAGGGCACAGGTTGAGAAGGAGAGGCCTTCATGGCACGCTGAGCGAATATGGGACTGGAACCCAGCCATCTAACCAAATGAGCTAACCAATACAACACTCAGCCATTATACCTAATTTGTGATTAAGATATTGTGCTGATTATGATTCTGATCATGGACACAGCAGGTCAAGCAGCATCACAGGAGCAGAGAGGCTGACGTTTCGGGCCTAGACCCTTCATCACCCTCCCTTTCTGATGAAGGGTCTAGACCCGAAACGTCAGCCTTTCTGCTCCTATGATGCTGCTTGGCCTGCTGTGTTCATCCAGCCCTGCACCTTGTTGTCTCGGATTCTCCAGCATCTGCAGTTCCTACTATCTCTGATTCTGATCATATTGCATTTCCTCCAGAACTGTAGGCAGGTTAGTGCTACGTAGAACGTGCAATTTCCAAAGTAATACCATAGCTCCAGATTCTTTTAATTCATTATCGCAACAAATCCCTTTGATCTGCTGCTATTACATTCTACTTTTAAACTTGCTCATTCAGCAAGGTGATTTTACAAGTCCTGGTACAATAGAAGGGTCCTTCTCTGAACTTTTAATTTACAATGTTTTAGTTGTACTTTCTTTTCTCCAGAAAAAATCATTTAGTCGTTATACTTCATAGTTTAGTGACTTTGAGGAACAAGGTCTTTAACTTATATTAGCGTACTTATTGTCTTGGTGACATCTCCTTGTCTCCTATTTTAACCAGAATTAAACCATCTAGAATTTTCTGTAGAATTTAGAAGGTCAAGGGGTGATCTGATCAAAGACTTCAAGATATTAACCGGTGAAGGCAGGGTGGATAAAGATAAATTATTTCCACTGGTTGGGGATTCTAGGATTAGGGGCACAGTCTGAGAATGAGGGCCAGGTTGTTCAGGAGAGATGTTAGGGAGCACTTCGACACACAAAGGGTGGGATTGTCTTCCACAAACAGCAATGGATGCTGAATAAGTTGTTAGTTTTAAATCTGTGAGAGATACAGTTGTTCCTTGACCCACATGCACCTATGTTCCTACCTGCAATTCAAAAGGATTTTTCAATGGATAAGAACTACAAATGCAGAACATTAGAATTTAAAGCACAGAAAAAAGAAACTTTGCAACAGTACTGGACATAGTTCTTGAACAAAAACCATCTAATCCCATTTCCTGATCTTTGTTCTGTCTCCTTTCACAGTCTTCCTTTGAAAATGATCAACCCCCTTTGAAACATGAGATTCTGGTCAATTGTAGACTGTGGCTATAGGTCACTGCCAGGGCAAGTCCAGAATGTTAAAACGATAGAACTACATAATATTTCCAGCCCAGAAACAGCCCATTCTGTACTCTGGTCTACATAGATATTTCTTCTCCTACCTATCTTCATCCCACCCTGTCTTTACCCATGTTCTTCTGTCCCTTTCTCCATCATGTGGGGGTGGAGGAGGTTGTTGATGGGGCATTGGAGGTGGAGAAAGGAGACTGTGAGAGCGAGTGGTGTAAGAGAGAGAGTCATAGAGCTGTACACCGTGGAAACAGACCCTTCGGTCCAACTCACCAATGCTGACCAGATATCCTAAACTGGTCTAGTCCCATTAGTCAGCATTTAGCCCATATCCTTCGAACACCTTTGTATTCATATACCCATCCAGATGCCTTTTAAATGTTGTAATTGTACCAACCTCCACTACTTCCTCTGGCAGCTTATTCTACACACGCACCACCCTCTGTGTGAAAAAGTTGCCCCTTAGATCCCCTTTAAATCTTTCCCCTCTCACCTTAAATCAATGCCCTCTAGTTTTGGACTCCCCTATCCCCAGGAAAAAGCCTTAGCTATTCACCCTATCCATGCCCCACATGATTTTATAAACCTCTATTAGGTCACCCCTCAGCCCCAGCCTATTCAACCTCTCCCTGTAACTCAAACCCTCCAACCCTGGCAACATCCTTGTAATTTTTTTCTGAACCCATTCAAGTTTCACATCTTTCCTTAAGCAGGGAGACCAGAATTGAACACAGTATTCCAAAAATGACCTAACCAATATCCTGTACAGCCACAACATCATCTCCAAACTCCTATACTCAATACACTGACCAATAAAGGCAAGCGTACCAAACACCTTCTTCACTATCCTGTTTATCTGCGACACCACTTTCAAGGAACTATGAACCTGTACTCCAAGGTCTCTTTGTTCAGCAACACTCCCCAGGACCTCACCATTAAGTGTATAAGTCCTGCCCTGATTTGCCTTTCCAAAATGCAGCACCTTATCTAAATTAAACTCCATCTGTCACTCCTTGGCCCATTGGCCCAGTGGCCCATCTGACCAAGATCCTGTTGTACTCTGAGGTAACCTTCTTCACTGTCCAATACACATCCTATCCTTCAAGTGTAGTGTAACCAAGATTTCAACATGGCAAATGAACTTGTTAATTTTTCACTTCTAAAATTGAACCAAGTTTCTTCTTTGCTTCTGAATGACCTTATGGACTTGCGTTGTTGATTTCAGCCATTTACCTGTACCCTGATCCCAATGCTCCCTCACCTCTTTAACGTTAACTTTAATAATGTGAAGATTTTAAAGAAGGATTTGTCAATGAGACTTCATTTAAATTTAACTGTTGCTTCAATCCTCAAAATCAAATTGGCATATTGTTCGTATTCATGGATTTTGTAATGATTATTGTCAACGAAACTGCCCAGTAAACTATCGGTTCCCCAATGAAAGCAGGTGCAAATCCTGGAATCTGCCCATGTGCAGAATAACGTAAAAATCTGGAAGCCAATCTGTGTGTGTGTGTGAGAGAGTGTGCGTGTGTGTGTGTGAGAAGGACAGAGTTTGTGTGTGTGTGTGTGTGAGAGAGACACAGTTTGTGTGTGTGTGTGAGAGAGAGAGAGAGTGTGTGTGAGAGAGAGAGTG